TGTATTACTTTATTATAGGGGGAGCTCTGGTAGCATAGTTCCTAAGGCATTTGACTGCTAACCAGAAGGCTGGTGGTTCAAACCCACCAACCACTTCTCAAAAGGAAGATTGGGTGATCTGCTTCTGTAGTGATACTGTTTCAGAAGCCCAAGAAGGAGTCACTATGAGTTGTATCCAACTCAACGGCAGTACATTTGGTTTTTGGTTTTAGTTCAGGTATTATAAGTAATCTAGACATGATTTAAAGTATCAAGAGGATGTGCATAGTTTATATGCAAATACTATGCCATTTTATATAAGGGACTTAAGCATCTCTGGATTTTGTTATCTATGGGAGTCCTAGAACCAATACCCCACAGATACCAAGGGACAACTTTATATACTGTTCTGAGCACTGATGATACACCATCACAAAAAGAAACACAACAGAAAATAAGTAGGTAACGTGATTGGTGTGGTCATTGCTGATTAGGAAGCAGTTCATTGAGGGTAGAGAGAGAAGTAAGAGATTGCTATTTTAAATAAAACAGGAAGATATCTTAGATTCCTAGTGCTTGCTGTAACAGAAATACGAGCAGTGAGTGGCTTTACAGAACAGAAAGTTATTTCTTCACAGTTTTGGAGGATTAGAGTCCATACCAGGGTCTCAGCCATGTGGATTCCTTCCTTGTCAGGAGTCCTGGGAAATCTTTGGTTCTTGGCATTCCTCACGTGGTGTCTGTCTTCACCGATTCGTGTTTGTGTCTGTGTATAAGCTGCTCTTTTGATAACTCAAAAGTGATGAGGCTTAGGGCACACCCTATACAAATATGATATGATTAACATAACAAGGGAAATTCTGTTTCCAAGTAGGATTATATCCACAAGTTAAGGTGTTAGGATCCCAACACATATTTTCTGGGGACACTATCTAATCCATAACAAAAGGTCTCTCTGATGAGATAATATTTGAGCAGAAACCTACATAAATTGGGCCAGCAAACCATGCAACTATTGGAATAGAGTGTCTCAGACAGAAATAGCAATGGCAAAGGGCCTGGGTGGTTGCTATGCTTAGACTGTTCGATGAGGCTCACACTCACCAGTGTGGCAGGAACACAGAGGGAAGGGAGGAGAGTAATAGAGATGAGGTCAGTGAGATGTGTGGCTAAGGAATGAACACATCAGGGAAGGCCTTGTAGCCCATCATGCAGGCTTTGGATTGTACTCTGAATGAACCAAACCAAACCCACTACTGTCCAGTCAATTCTGACTTATAGCTACCCTGTAGGACAGGGAGCTCTGGTGGTATAGTGCTTAAGGCATTTGACTGCTAACCAGAGGCCTGGAGATTCAAACCCACCAGCCACTCCTTGGAAGGAAGATTAGGCAATCTACTTCTGTAGTGATACTGCCTTGGAAACCCAAGGAGAGGGGTCATTATGTATCAGATCTGACTCCACAGCAGCTAGTTTGGGTGGTTTTTTTTTTGTTTGTTTGTTTGTTTTTGGTAGGACAGAGTAGAACTGCGCCATGTGGTTTCTATGTAATCCTTTGGGAGCAGACTGCCACCTCTTTCTCCCATGGAGCTACTGGTGAGTTTGAACCACAGACCTTCTGCGAGCAATTGTGCACTTTAACCATTGTGCCACCAGGGTTTCCATATAAGGGTTTCAAAAAGAGACACAGTCTCCCTTATATTAAATAATTCCTCTGGCAGCTAAGCTGAAGATGAGAAAGGATGAAAATTGATAAAATACTTAGCAGGTCATCTTAGAAATCTAGGTGAGAAATGGTTGGATTGATAGCAGCAGAGGAAATAAAAAGGGTGAAGAATCTCTATACTTTGAAGGTAACTGATAAAATTTGCTGGTAAATTGGATGTGGGGTATGTGAGAGAAGCACAAATCAAGATGAGTCTCAATTGTTTGGCTAGGGCAACTCAAAGCATAGAGTTGCCATTTATTGAAAGAGGGACAAGTTGGGTTGGAGGGAAATTGAGAGTTCATTTTTGGATGTGTTGAATTTAAGATGTCAGATATCTAAGTGGAACTGAAAAGTAACCAAATGAATGGAGGACTCCAGGCTCAAGGGGGAAATCTTGCTAGAGTTAGATGTTGGAAGAGCTAAACACTGGGTGAGATCAGGAGGCTGTGATTGTTGATGGAAAAGAGAAGAGGTCAGGACAACGGACCCTTGGAACACTTTAAAATTGAGAGGTGGAGATGATGAGAACAATCAGCAAAGAAGGGCAATGGAGCTTTGAATGAGAAGGCAGGTGAAGAGAGTGAGCAGATGCTGATGGCAGGTTAATAGAATAAGGACCAAGAATTGACCACCTCGTACAATAAAGTGCATATGAATTGCCTGGGACAGCCTTGTGGATAGTAAGTCAATGTTTGATTAAATTTAGGTCTTTTCCCTTATCTCTTTTTTTATATTGTGGATATACATACCTGCATACACATATACTTCTCCAAATACATATATTTGTAGTGATTTTTATCAATCTATATCAAAACATTTGCCATTTCATCATTTTTACATATATAATTCAATGACATTAATTACATTCATCAGGTTGTGTGAGTATAACCATGTCTCTTTGATGGCTGAAAATCTCACCAAAATGTATGCCTTGGCCAGCCACACCCAACGATCTTAAACGCCTTACTTTGAGTAACACTGTTCTATATCACTTCTACTATACATTTAAAGTACAAACCCAACTCTCCTGCTGTAGCTGGACCCACTCTCAAAATTCTCAAAATGACATAACTTCTGAATCATCGTTTGTTGTTAGGTGCCATCGAGTCAGCTCCAACTCATAGTGATCCTATGTACAACAAAATGAAACACTTCCTGGTCCTGCACCAGCCTTACAGTCTTATGAATTAGGACTCTATATATGTCATCTCTTTAATGTACAAAATCTATAACCTATAAATTTGAGCTGCCATGTTGCCTATGAAGAAGAAAGGAAGGAAGGGGACCACCATTTTGAAAGGTTTACCATGGTCCAGACATGATGCCTTCACACATATGTTTGTTCTTCATACATCTGTTTTAATTTATTATATATGTAATGACAAAATGTGAGCCTTCATTACCTTGGTAATAGTCCCTTGTTTGTTGGCTAGGTCCATATCTAAGAGAAGTAGTCAAGTTGTAATGCGTAATGGAACAGAGCAAGTCCCCCATATCTGTGCATGATTTTCATTTTACAAAGCCTGACTCAACATATTCTTAAGTCAGCCTATCATAATTTTCAGAGGTGAAGCTACCTTTTATTCTTGGCAATGAAAGTCATGTTCAAAAAGATGGATAATACTTTATAGTTTACAAAGAACTCTAATGTATGAATAGCATCTGGGCTTTAAAATAACTCTGTAAAGTAGGCATATTAGTTATATTAACTTGATAGCTTCCAAAAGCAAATGTCCTTGTTCCTTATTCTCCCTCTGTATACTGTGTTAGGTTGCATGGCTCCAGATGGTATGCTGAATAATTAATATATTCAAATAAAATGGCTTTACATACTTTAAAAAATTTTTGGTATGGGCTAAATTGCTGTAATCCTGGGGATAGTGAGGTGGGGTGATAGGTTGGGGTATATAAACAGACTCAGGAACAGGTAAGTCCAAGCCTAGAATATAATAGAGCTCAGTGGTTACAGTAAGATGTAGAAGAGTGATATTAAATGTTCTTGTCCATCAGCTTGAACCAAAACATGAACTAAAATGATTTTTTAATATTAAGTTAATTTTATCATAATTATTATTCTATTCTTTTGGAAATTGCTTTGAACTAAAATGTGTTTCTAGCCTGGTACTGAAGAACTCCTGCAAATAAGTTCATGAGGTTTTTGAGCTGGCAAACATTTTAACTAGCAGGTAGAGTTTCCATTTTGTCTCTCTTTAATGTAAGAGAATACAAGTCAGTAGTTTGAGTGTTTCTACTGTGACTTGTTTTGCATAGTTACTGCAAGGTGTTTCTTGCCTGTGTTTTTTCCTGAAACATCTTCAGCCTGGCATCATTACTTTGTCCTAGTCTGCCTTGCATTATATTCAGTTTATTTTGAGGAGTGAATGTGTTTATCATTTATTGTCTTGCTACTAGAATGTAAGCTTTTTAATGACCAGGATAATGCCTGTTTCACTGTTGTTGCATTTCTACCAGTATATTTCCCCTTCCCCTTTCTTTCCCCTTCCCCTAGCTCAGTATTTTAAACATTGTAGGAACTCAGTAAACATTTACCAAGTGGACCTGACTTGATATTGGTAGCTATTGTGTTGGTTGTACCACTCAGTAATAGATATTCAAGGGAAATGTGTAGTAGCAATTGGGTGCTACAAATGATTAAGCTCTCAACTACTGGCTGAAGGGTTGGTGGTTTGAACCCACACAGAGACACCTTGGAAATCAGGCCTGGTGATCTTTTCCCTAAAGGTGACAGCCTTGAAAACCCTATGGAGCAGTTCTACTCTGCCTACATGGAGTTGCCATGAGTTGGAACTGATTTGATGGCAACTAACAACAACAAATTAAAGACATTATCATACTGAATTTCTTTTAATTTATTTCCTTTATTTAGTATATACTACTTCTCACGAACATTATTTTGATATTTGACTATTTGCCTAGGTGCTTCAAGAAAACCTGAGGAAATTAAGTTGCCTTATATTTTTAATCCAACATCTTATCAAGAGAAATATCTCATATTTGTGGGCAGAGTGTGACTAACAGACTCCTTTCTAGTGCTTTAAATTACTTGCAAAACATCTTAAATGATGATTTTAGATATATATATTTCTGTCTCTTAATGTTAGCAGTGAACAGAGCTAAAAAAGACCCTTAGAATTCTCTCAAGTAAATACAAACCCCATGACAGTATTTGCTTATACATTTTCAAAATGTCAAAACCAATAGCAGCCTTCAAGTTCTTAACTTATAATGAAATCTGTGTATATGCTGACATTTTAATAGAAATTACCTGAATTTTGTTTTTTGTACATGGTAGTACAGGGAAACCCAAACATGAGTGGTTTCTTCAGAAAGATTCCGAAGGAGACACACCTTCGCTTATCAACTGGCCTTCCAGGTATATCTGTGGCTACTGTGTAGTAAGCGCTTCCACTTTCCGTTTTGATTTGCTTTGCTCTTTCCACATACTAGCTAATACTAACGCTTCCCTGAAAATCATATGTTCAGAAGGGGCTGCTAGAAATTCCTTTCTAATCATTTGCTTTTCTCCTCCATTACCCTAATCTCCACCAGTAATATTTCCCCTTCCCCTTTCTTTTCTTCTTTTTACTAGACCTTTTATTTATTTATCTATCTATCTATCTATCTATCTATCTATCTATCTATCTTTCCTTTTCTTACCCTCTCAAAGAATTGGCCAATTGGGGGCAGTAAGGAGAAACTAACCAGTATTTCTTTGTTTTCTCCTGAGTTAGACTAACCAGCCAGGGTAGTATCTTCTCTGTATCTCCCTCCTCCCAACACCAACCTTGTTTTCATTTCTCCTCGTCTCTAAGCCAGCAGCTCATTTTCAAAGAGTTAAATTTAGGGTGTGTGGTTTGGAAAGCAGACAAAAACCCCTATCATTTCATTTTTAAGGTTGGGGGCAGGGAGAGGCGGAAGGAGTAAGAATGAATAAGTCACTGGAAGGACAAAGCACCCATATATTGAGTTTCTAACAGTCACTTTGTTCTCAGCTGAGGACAAAATTCAGATTGTCTTTGATTAGAAGCACACATTCCACAGGAGAATTTGAACCACATTTCAGTCTTCTTTTGATTAGCAAAGGTTATAAGTATGGAAACCTCCAGCAGTGACTAGTCTCTAGGAAAAATAACAGCTCAGAATACTTTTTTCCCCAGAGTTGTTCATAATAACTGCTTTTTATGTGTGAGTTTGATTTCTCATTAATAAAGTAAGCATAGATATCTTTCATCTTCTGTTGAAACATGTGGCTAAATAGGAGTTTTTATCAAATTTCTCAGGGTGCATTTGTCACAAAGGAAAATACTCTCTTTCATAAAGAGAATATCGGCAATAATTATTTCTGCTGACTAATCTTAATGATTTTACGTTTCCTTAAGAAGTCCCCTTTCATACTCCAAAAGCATTCTTGACTTTTAAAAACATTATCCCCAATCAGTATTCCATTCACAGTTTGAATGATGCCTGGCATTTCAACAAGTAAAAATAAGAATTAGCTAAGACTATTAAACGTTGACTCTTCGCCAAGCACTCAGCCTTGTGCTTTGCAAACATCCTATTACATACATCACCATTATTTTCATTTAAAAGATAAAGCAGCTGAGTTTCAAGAGGGGAACTGAGTTGCTCAAGGCCACATAGCCAGAACTGCATGAGCCGGAATTTAGGACTCCACAGCCAGGAAGCCATCTTGACTGCTTTGCTTCCCTGGTAATGGAAAAAGGTCTGTGGCTTTAGAAATGGGTTCTCATTTTCCCCTGAGATATTTAAATAGCTCTAGAAACAATCAAAGGAGTTCTGGTGGTGCAGTGCCTAAGGCATTTGTCTGCTAACCAGAAGGTTGGTGGTTCAAACCCACCAACTGCTCCGCAGAAGGAAGATGGGACAGTCTACTTCCATAAAGACTTACCACCTTAGAAACCCAATGGGGGTCTCTATGTGTCAGTATCAATTCAGTGGCAGTGGGTGAGTGTAGAAACAACTCAGAGCAATTTTTTTCCCTCAGATTAGTTTTTAACTCAGAGGGGAAAATGGTCAGTTCATTAGTTCTTGCAACAACTACCTTTTCTCTAACTTTTCTTGGTGCTACAGTTGTTAGTAGTAATGATATCCAAACTGGTCAAATGCCTTATGAATTAATGAATGTCGTTTGCATAGCATGAAAAAGCTTGTGAATGTTTAGTTGAGTGCTTCAGAATAGATAATTATTTATTGTATTATGCGCTCAATAAAAAACATAAGCAATCACAAATGCTCTTACCTTTCTAGGAGACGATGACATTACAGTGTTTTGGTTAACAGGTGTATGTATGCCTCGGCACTCCCCGCTGTACTTATGCAAATTTAAAAACTCAATACAAAATCGCTCATCTGGTTTAACCAGCGGGTTTCTGACATTAAATACCAAAAATACTTTTTAAAACGTAGTTCTCTCTTTGAGCCACTTTCCAGTTCCTTGGTTGTCTGTGATCATGCATGCTTTCTTCCCGTTGAGCAGTTACTGCACTTGACAACTTAAACCCTTCTTCTTTCTTAAAGAATAAAGGTTAGAGAAAAATTGGTGAAGGAGGAGAGTGCTCGCAGCAGCCCTGAACATGCCTCAGAGTCCTTAACTCAGAGGAGACATCAGCCAATGCCTGTGCATTACCTGTCCTTTCAGTCAGAAAACTCAGCTTTCGATAGGGTCCCAAGCAAGGCAGCTGGCTCAGCCTGTCAGCCAATCCGTGGCTATGTCCAACCAGCCGATGCTGTTCACACTGCCAAGCTGATGACCACAGAAAACCTAGAAAATACCTCTGAATGTAGCTGGGCAGAATCAGCCACCCACCATGTAATAAAACCTTCCACTTCGAAGGTTGTAGAAGGTGAGAGAAGGGAGACCCCAGTTCTCCATATTAGTGAATCAAAAACAGAAGAAGACTTATTCATAACCGAAGCTCTTGAAAAAAGCAAGAAAACACTTTTAACTTTGGAGGATCATGGGCCTGTGAGAAGCCAAGAAGACAACCTCCCTAGAGATGAGGACTTTGGTAAGCCTGCTATTAACACAATCACCTCAAAGCATCAGAAGGAGCAAGCACGTCTGTCACACCCACCTAAAGGTCAGCAGCAGCCCTCTGAGAGAATGGGCAGGAGTGAAATGGTTGTGTATGTTCAGCGTGAGCCTGCATCCCAAAACACCAACCTGGCAAGTCACAGAAAGGAAGTTTCTTTGAAGAAGCGCAAGGTCCTCACTCGCTCACTCTCTGATTACACTGGCCCCCCTCAACTTCAGGCCTCAAAGTGCAAGGACCCCATTTCCAAGGGAGAGCCACAGAGTTCCAAAGTTGAAGGGCTCTACACAGAGCTTGGCATGGTGGACACCAAGGTCTCTGTTGCCCAGCTCCGAAGTGTGTTTCTGGAGTCTGCCAGTGCCATCAAGAAACCAGAACTGTAGGTGATGTTTCAGACATACTCCTGATGTGTCACTTGCACGTCCTTGGCAGAATTAGTCACTTCTCCACGTGTGCTGTGTCCTGCATTAAATGCTGTTAGCTTAGCTCACAAATGTGTGCAGGGCAGATGATACAAAGAAATGGCTCAGAAACTACCATTTTGCTTCTGCCTACTAATGGGGTAAAAGAGTATCGGGTAGCTGGAATGTTCCACCTCCTTTCGTGCATGGTAGAGGCATGCAGAGGGATTTGGCAGTATGTGTGCCTTCACTCACTAAGATGCATAAATCTTTGCCTTATTCTCTCTCTCTGTCTTCCTGTTTCCCTTCCATATACTCTCCATCTCATGATTCTAAAAGCCATTCACGGGTTGAGAGGTCAGCTGAAGGAGTTGGCTCCCCTACCAGTATGGAACGGGAGAGAGGGTCCCGGAAACCAAGACGGTATTTTTCACCTGGTGAAAGTAGAAAGACTTCTGAGAGATTTAGAACTCAACCTATAACCTCAGCAGAACGAAAGGAGTCGGATAGGTAGGCACATGCATATGTGTGGTTCCATAGGTCTAGGAATGTAAGAGAAATAAATGATACAGGATTTTGACCACAATGTTAGTCCTGATGCTGTTTACATAGGATCTTGGTGATTCCACTGTTCTTCCAACTAATCAATAAAGGATATTTATTTGGCTGATTTAATAGTATTTTGAAAGAATGTTGACCTTTACAATGATATCACAATACACAATTTACATTAATTACAATGGTTTAAGACATAAGAAACATGATTTTTCTTAATTCAATATTTTTAATATTCTAATGTCTTTGTAAAATTAAAATCCAAATTGAATATTCACCAGATTTTATGGTGAAAATAACTAAGGAATTTTATATTCATTTTATAAATGTCTGCTTATTTGTTGTATTTGAAGTCTTATGTTAAATTGTCTGTTGCTTAGAAATGATAAGATTTGTCTAAAAAGTTATCAGTTCTGGTTAATAAGTTGTACTTGACCTTTTTTTGTCCGTGAGTTATGCATTGGGCTGAGATTATGTGCACATGTGCTCCACTGTGTCAGTAATCACTGGGAATGTGTGTATTCACAACTAGACTTGCTACCAGGGTGATGTTCTTTAAGAGTGTTTAATTGTATTTTTAATTTTCACTTTATGTACAATGTTGTATTTGGATCTTCTACACACACCAGCTAATTTATTATTACTATTATTTGCTAATGTCTTTCCTAGATGTACTTCAAATTCAGAAATGCCAACTGCTGACGGTAAGTATATTTTCATTTTTCTTCTTTATCATCCCACCCACATGAGAATTAAATAATAGGATTTTGGCTTTTGGAGAAAATACGATTGTAGAACACATTAGTTCCTCACTTTTCTGCAAGTCTTTCTTTCTATGAATATAATAAAACCTGGTTGAGATTTTCAGATGAGCATTATTTTAGGGAATTTAAGGGTTAAAGAGTTATGGTTGCGCAATATTAAAACCAAGGGATTTGGACCACAGTGGCAGGTTATTCTTGTTATTGCCACTGTTTAACAATAAGGAAGAGTAAATGATATTTGAAAGAGCCCTGGTGGTGCAGTGGTCAAATGATCAGCTGCCAACAAAAAGGTCAATGGTTCAAACCCACCAGCCGCTTCTTGGGAGAAAACTGAGACAGTCTGCTTCTGTAAAGATTACAGCCTTGGGAACTCTGTGGGGCAGTTCTACTCTGCCCTATAGGGTCACTATGAGTCAGAGTGGACTCAATGGCAATGGGTGTATGATATATGGAGAAAATCTTTCTGTAAAATCTCTTCTCCAATCTTAGTCAAATACTACAGTAGAAAATTTCTATCCGGGCAAGGTTGGGTTGGGCTGGGTTTTAATTTGATAAAAATCAGCACCTTTTTACTGCACAGAAATAGTGCCTAAGGCACTTGACTGCTAACTAGAAGGCTGGTGGTTCAAACCCACTAGCCACTCCTCAGGAGGAAGGTGAGGCAATCTACTTCTGTAGTGATACTGCCTCAGAAACCCAAGGAGGGGTCGCTATGGGTCGGGTGCGACTCAACAGCATATAACAACAATAACAGCAGCCCGGGGGGAGATATTGCCAGTTATTATTTTTAACACACCAATTTTGTGTTCAAAGGATTTCCCAGCCAGCCTTAAAAAACTTCTCAGAGGTTTTACTTATGTTTTCTAATGCTGCTCAGTTTTTATTTTGTGGTGTTTTGCAGATGAAGAAAAGGTAGATGAACGAGCTAAGCTGAGTGTTGCTGCAAAGAGGCTACTTTTCAGGGTAAGGTGTCTCCAAAGTGTGATGAGAATCGTGACCCATAGTGCTGGGAGCCCTCACTTCCCCATCCTGCTCCATGCACCTCTGGGCACTTTCAGGGTGCTTTCTAAGATCATGCTCAGTCTGCCTCACCTGTTGACCATTTCCTGTTCCTGCACTGGTTTTGACACCCAGCTCAAGCTTATACTTCTGATAATGACACCTGCCTCTCAGCAAGACGTCCCCTCCTTTAGGTCCTGTTGGAGAACAGAGTGGAGAGAACAGAGGCAATAGGTTGCTGCCTCAGTCACCTTTCCTCAGAAATACAGGGATTTCACATTGTTTCTACTTTTAGGAAATGGAAAAATCATTCGAAGAAAAAAACGTTCCTAAACGACGCTCAAGAAACGCAGCGGTGGAACAAAGGCTTCGCCGTCTGCAGGACAGATCCCACACCCAACCCGTTACCACTGAGGAGGTGGTCATCGCAGCCACGTGAGTCTCCATTGGGTTGTACTGCCCTTAGATAGGAAACAAAAATTAAAGGATTTTTAAAGAAAAACAAGATGACAAAGAGATAGTTTACCTAGAAGACACAGGGAAGTTGGTACTTAAGAGATTTTCACTGCTGCTGCCTTTCTAAACTTTGGATTTTGTTACAACCGTTGTATCTTCTGTGGAGTGAGGGTGGCGTGAGCAGTTTGCGGTCCACTGCTGAACTAAATGTTGACAGTTTGAGCCCACCCAGCAGCTCCGTGAAGAAAGGCTTGATGAACTGCTTTCATGAAGATTACAGCCAAGAAAATGATGGAGTAGTTCTATTCTGTAGACATGGGGTCTCCGTGAGTCAGGGCACAATTCAACAACAAAAACATGAAGAGTTAATTCTGCTTCATTTATATTTTTCCCTGTGTGTTTTTGCTTATTTCTCTCTTTTACGATGAAAAATTTTAAATATAAAAGTAAGCAAATTGACATAAACACTACTTCCATCATTCATGCCTCACACAGTTTCAACAGTTAACTTTTGGCCAATCTTGTCTACTTATATCCCCACTGACTTCTCCTTTCCTTGTGCAGCATTTCAGGCAAACCCCGGACACCATGTCTATTTCATCAATAAATATTTGAGTATGTATCTCTAAAAGAGAAGAGAACACATCTATTTATGTGTTTTGAATAATCAGCAATAAAAATTGAATCACAAGTTTGTGCTAATTTTCCAAATGATGAGAAGTGACTTTTGAGCAAAATGTTCATAATGCATTTCCATTGCTTTCATGCTCCCTTGGATACACACACACACGCTCGCACACAAGTAAACACACATACAATGTACAACACACACATGCCTTTCTTGATAAAGGTCAAGTTCATCTCATTCAAGACACTGAGAACCTAAGAAATGTCAGTGTCAAAGTTCACGTTTGTGAACCTGCTGTTACATCAATTGGCTTCACATCCATCTCTCTAGTTGTTACTCACTTTCTTGTTATGTTTGTGGAAAAGCAAGTTCCTGTACTTATCTTGTCATATTGTCATTTAAATACAAAAAATTCTTTGTGTGTGGATGTTGTAAAATAAGAAGCAACTAGCTGAGAGAACAAAACAGTCAACATAAGCAAAAATAATCAACTTGAAGGGCTCAGTGAATCCACTTTGATGTCAGGACACTGATTTTTTTAAAAAAAATGATACATTGACAACAACATTCTAAAACATGGACACAATCTACTTATTTGCTGATGGTTAATATTAATGTCTTACTTGTTTATTTATTACTTTTTCAAACCAGGACACTTGTACTATAGATAACAGCAAATCGTTTGCAAGCTGATAAATCTATTCTATTCTAGTTACTTTGGGCAGCCTCTGTCTCTTATTTCTTAAGTTTATAATTGCTTTTCAAGTTCTGTTGTGATTTTTTTCAAAAGTACGTAGTCAATAATTTTGTTAAAGTATTTGATTTCACTTTTCTGAATTTAAAATACTTTCCTTAATGCTTCTTTTCTTCTCTCTCCTTATGAATGTTCCTACTTTGGCAATTGCTTTTAAAGTGAACCTATCCCTGCTTCGTGTTCTGTGGCCACCCACCCTGTAATGGCAAGACTTCCTAGCCCCACTCTAGCTAAGAGCACTGTGCAGCCTGCCAGGTACTGGACAGAAATAGCTGCATGTGGCATTGAGTGCAAAGGTGCTGGACAACCAATGCATCTTAAAATCTCGAATGCCTTTCATTTGTTTGACAAACAAGTCAGTGCCATGAGTGGTTCCAGGCATGTGTGGCATTTACTTTTGTCATAATGCAAGGTACTGGTAACTTTATGTTGGCCTGCATGCAAACACATTTAGTCTCTCTGTTCACATTATGTATTGGAACTAGGATCACACTAACTCACTGATCCATTTGTTTTGTGTCTGTTTTTCATAATAATGGTCATCCCTAAACAATTCCATTTTTCATCTGTAATACTAGCACTTAATACAGATTAACGAACAAATGGGGAATTAACATGAAATGTTCAAATTTGAGTTAACACCAGAATTTTTAAAACAAATATATATATAAACACAAACCTACATGTTTCTGATTTATAGACAGACAGTGCAGTTAATGTTTTAGGATTGAAAAATAATTGATAGTGTCCGAACTTAGATGTTTTATTGTTTTCAATTACAATATTTTAAACTTAGGTCCTAAAGCATGTAAATATCCCCTTTATTTTACTGTCATGGACTAATACACAAAGGCTACAAATAAGATCAAAAGAAGCAAAATGACAATGCAGAAATAAAACTAGTGTACCTCTTCAAGGAAGTAGGTTAACATTGCCCTGCCAGTTTGCAGCACCTCAAGACAGACTTTGAAGCTCAGGTTGCTTGTATTACCCTTTGCATTGTACATTGGGAGCAGAGATACTGCTCTTTTGTCTGGGACAACTTGTGAATTGGTCATTAATTGGTGTCAAGGCAGAATACATTTCTTAACTGGCCTTGAGAGTTGGATTGCCCCCCCCCCCCCCCCAGCAGATAATATATTGTCCTGAAAACCTCTTAGGATCTTTAGCGACCATATAAACCAGGAGCCTTCTCCTCTAGCTGGAAATTGGAGAAATTTATAACCACGTAGAATGTTCCTCGGTGTTCAAGTTACTGGGAATTCCCAATTGAAGTCCATTTTAGACACACAGAGAAACCTATGAGACGAAATGCTAGATTAAGGAGTGAATGAATTTTTAACATTAAGCGACGCCCGTTTAGCAAGTAGAAATCAAAACACTGTGTTTATAACGTTGACAGAATGACTGTGTTGTCTCTTAATTATTTAAAATGAGAAGACCACCTTCTGAAACACAAATTTAGTGTCTAAATGTGCCGTAGACAATGCCTTAGGACTCCTTTTAGCCTAACTAACAACGCAACTTCTCTCTCTCAATTAGATGAGCAATATCCAGGCATACTTCAATTCCTTAAATAGGCAGCCCATTTCTTAGAAATAATTCAGAGGTAAAAATCTGCTCTTTGTCGAACTGATAACGCTCAGGTCCCAAGTCGTCTTTGCTATTTACTATCATGTTTAATGAATAGACTCCATGGCATTGAGTTTGGTTTTTGTTGGTCATGTTTAATAGGTAAACAACTGTGACCACCCTGTCCTAAATTTGTGAAGGAAAAAATAAACCTTTTCCAAAGTTATTGCTTTGACACTTTTAACAAAGTGTTAATAGATAAAGTTAGCAGTGGGCTCTTGTTTCTTTCCCTGCTATTAACATTTATTACTTTCAGATTACAGGCATCCGCTCACCAAAAGGCATTAGCTAGGGACCAGGCAAATGAGGGCAAAGACTCAGCTGAACAAGGTGAACCTGATTCCTCTATGCTCAGCCTCGCAGAGAAGTTGGCCTTGTTTAACAAATTGTCCCAGCCAGTGTCCAAAGCTATTTCTACCCGAAACAGAATAGACATGAGACAGAGGAGAATGAATGCTCGCTATCAAACACAGCCTGTCACGCTCGGAGAGGTGGAACAGGTGGGTACGCTGTCGTCTGAGTCCAATTTTTGCGTGTTTTTAAAAGATAGGCACAGTATCGCTCTTAGGTTAATGACAGAATTGAGGCCATCTGCCTGTAAACTGTGCTTCCTATAGGTGATTTGGTAATAATTCCTACAGAAGCTAATCATGCCAAGTATATCTCTCTGTTCTTGTTTCCATAATTTACTTGCTGGAACCATCTGGAGCGAGTCCATTTTGGAAAAAACAACAGTACACACAACTTGCTTTTCACCTCGAAGATATTTTCTAATGAGATGCACTGCATAACTGTGTCCACGAAGGGTTTCTTGTGAAGATAAGCAGTGAAACTGTACCAAATGTAGTATTTCAGCCTGTCAGTGTATAAACCAGGATGAAGGAAACAATATTTTTAAATCTTTGTACTTCTTAACTATGTCCCTCCAGGTACAAAGTGGAAAGCTCATTCCTTTCGCACCTACCGTTAACACATCTGTGTCCACTGTGGCACCTACGGTCACGCCAATGTATGCAGGGGACCTTCGGGCAAAGCCATCTGTTGATGACAATACAAGCGCCACTGACTATAAGTTCCCTTCTTCGATAGAAAATTCAGACTCTCCAGTGAGAAGCATTCTGAAATCGCAAGCAAGGCAGCCTTCAGTAGAAGATAGTGGGAGCAAAGGAACGTGGAGAGAATTTGGAGAGACAGAAAGCAAGCGAGTCTTGACAAGTGGAAACAGTTGGGCTAAAAAGTATGAGTCTTTTGAGGAAGCAGAACCGTCCTACCCCATTCTTAATAGAGTCAGAGAAGGAGACGGCCATAAAGAACCTAAATATGCTGTTCCACGGAAAGGAAGCATGGAGCTAGCTAATCCTCCCATGGCCCATCTTTGTGATGAACTGAAGGAATTTTCCACTGCTAGAAGCATTTCACAGGGGAACCAGGACTTGAAAGACAGGCAGCCCTTTGAAGAGAAGGTGGAGATGGAGAATGTCACAAAAAGCAAGTTTGCTCTAAGAGGTAAAGTAAATCACAACTGCTCTTACAGTTTTAGAAACCATTTTCAGTTTTCAGTTACTGCTTGATTTGTTGTAAGTGCTTGTAATTGTTTCCAAGTAAATTGCAAAAGCAGTTTACAACTAATTCTGATGAAGAGTCCAGCATGAACCAAATGTTCCTCCAGCCTTCCCCTTTCTTTTGACTTTTTCAGTGCATTAATTAATTTTTCAACAGTCAAAATACTGGAAGCTCTTTCTACATCTTGATAAGTGTTTTGAGCACTTTGAACACTGCAAGCTGTCAGTTCTGTCAGCCGCTTTTATAAGTTGCTGACCCAAAAGGTCAAGGGCTTTGGTAAGCACAGGGAATAAGGACTCGAACCCATGTTTCTGGGTATTCAGGTTCTTTCTTTCTGTATTCCCTCTCTCTCTTTTTTTTGAAGACTGACAAATTATACTGCATGGGACTTTAATCTTCTTACTAGTTGACATAAAATGATATTGTGTAAGTTACAATAAGGGTTTTAGTGTGTGAGGAGAATGCATTTAAAATGGGAAAGTCTTGTTTGGAGAGAGCAGTAGAAACATTCCATAGTTTACAGGGAAAGCTGACTTCCTGTCTTCCACAGGAAAAAGATCATTGTCATGAGGTGATTTGCTGCAGGAAGTAACCCACGGGCAAGTTTGGTTTTCTCACAGTGCTGTAGATTTGCATATGTCCAAATGGATTGGGTAATCTGTCCTGTGTCGGCAGAGTGACCTCCAAGTGCTTGAGCGTTAGGGGGTTAATAGCTGGAAGAATGTTTGCTGGAGGAGTAGGTGCTGATGCTACTCCTTTCCTGCCCAGCAGCGGAGCTTGGGGAGCCCACTTGTGAGCTGACGGGCACAGCTGCTGGGAAAGCTGTTGCTCCAACCACAGCCTTGGTGCCGTGTAAGCAGCAAGACTTGGCAGAACAAGAACAAGAGAAGTTCTATAAGAATCCATGTGCCATGTTTGCTGCCGGAGAGATCAAAGCGCCAATGATGGAGGGCATCCTTGACTCGCCCAGCAAAACCATGTCAATTAAAGAAAGGTAAATAGAAACACAAGAATTGAAAATGGATTGTATTGAGGAGTGGAGGGAAGGAGCTTATATGTGGTTTGAAAAAACAGATCTGCATGAGGGGCAAAGAGATGAAATCACAAAATCAACTAATCACAGCAAGGGGCTGTACTATTCTACTGGCGATCTTTTGAGAAGTACAGATATGGGCATACCTTGTTTTATCACACTTGGCTTTATTGCATTTCGCAGATACTGAGGTGTTGTGTGTGTGTGTGTGTGTGTGTGTGTTTAAACCAATTGGAAGTTTGCAGCAACGCTGCATCCAGCAAGTCTATCAGTGCCATTTTTCAACAACATGTACTCACTTCATGTCTCTGTGTCACATTTTGGTAATTCTCACAATATTTCAGACGTTTTCATAGTGCTGTTGCACACTTGATAGGCTACAGTATAGTCTAAACATAACTTTTGTATGCACGGGAAAACATAAACTTTGTGTGCTTGTACTTGATAGTGAACTGCACTCCCCCCAGAACCTGGTTGGTCATACTGATGGAGGGCCAGCTTCAGAGTCACATGAGGAAACAAACAGAAACATACTTGTCCTTGCTTCATCTGTTTGAGGTTCCATTTTCTTTTTTTATATGAAATTCTCAGGCTGTAGAGTGATGGGAACTGATATCTTGGCACTTTTCAGGTTCACATGTCTTCTTCCAATTCTGTGTATTAACTGTTGATGACCGTCCCTGTAAAACATATATAGAGGGAATGAAGATAAATTCACATTTAGAATATACTGTAGGATTTGAATCCAAGTTGTGCTTATTTTACAGAAAGTAGAATGGATGACTTTTCTGAACTGCATTTTGAAATCTTACATCAGGTAATAGCTATGAAGGCTTATCAAACAACACTGTCACCTTATTTCATTCAAAAGAATGATGTGGGATTTGAGAGGATATATTTAAATGGGAGCAATACAGAGAATAGGAGCTAAATGTTGTCAGGATGTATTTTCCTTTTTAACCTTTAGCCACAGTTGAATTAAGCAGCAAAGGATGTAATAGTGATCGGAATACTGGGTGAGAAAAGGTCAAGTTAATTTCCCCATATGATTAGTCAGAACTGTTTCCACGGTTCTGCCAATCTGAGCCCTTTCTTATCACTTCCCCTCATTCAGAAGTTGCACTACTTTGTCAGTCATGGGCCAATATTATTTTTTCTGGATACATCTGAAACTGCCCAAGACTGTATATCAAACTATGATGAAAATTCTTCATCCTTCATTCCGTTTTCTAAAGCCGAGCTTTTTGGACATTATTTTTAAAATAAGAAATAGATGGAATGTCTTTCTGCTGACAAATAAAATTGTGAAGTCTTATTTTTACTGTAGCCTTTGTTTTACTTAAAATTCACAATAAATTAGACCTACTAGTGCTGCTGGTGCAATGAGTAAGCTCTTGGCTGCTAACTGAAAGTTTGGCAATTTGAACCTACCTAGCGGCTCTAAGGAGAAAGTTCTAGAGACGACAGCCTAGAAAACTCTGTGAGGAAGTTCTACTCTGTAACACGTGGGCCCGCTGTGAGTTGGAATCAAGTCTAAGGCACCCACCAACAAGAGTCTAGAAGCATAGATGGAGGGACAGAAGCTAAATAAGAAGAGTGATGTCTTGAATCAGGCAAGCACTTTGGCCTATTTCTACACGAGGTCCTCATTCACAAAAACCTAGCTCAAGGAGAATTTGATTCCAGAGATCTGAGTATAGACAACTGGTTATATGAGAAGGAAGGAAATATATTAAAGGAAATTAATGATAAATATCACTTATACACAAGTTACAATGTTTTCTGTATCAGAAAGCATCCTGGGGTAGGATTCTAATGGGAGATACTAATATACCTCTTCTTTCATAAACTTTTAAAGATTTCCTGTGCTTGGGAATATTCTGTCTATTGGAACTTGACACTTTTGATGAAGTTCTGTGTCCATCCATTATGCATTAATTCTTAATTTACTTGTCTATTTTTAGTGAATTTTAGTTTTACCTTTATCTTTCTGAAGAGGATCCCCGGTGGCATAGTGGGTAAGACATTTGGTTGCTAACTATAAGATTGGTGGTTCAAATCCACCAACTGTTCAATGGGAGGAAAATGAGGCAATCTACTTCTGTAAAGATTTATAGGCTTGGAAACCCAGTGGAGGTCACTGTGAGTTGGAATCAATTCCATGGCAGTGGCATTGGGTTTTTTTGGTTTGTATCTTCTTGAAAGCCCTTTGAATCCTATTGTAAAGTTCTCATTTTTAAAAATGTGATACACATTTTAAAATGTGGGAGCTCTGGTAGCATAGTGCCTAAGGTGTTTGACTGCTAATCAGAAGGGTGGTGGTTCAAACCCACCAGCCACTCCACAGAAGGCAGATGAGGCAACCTTCGTTCATAGAGATACTGCTTCAGAAACCCGAGGAGATGTTGCTATGAGTTGGAATCAACTCGAGGGTAGTGATATAAAGGCATAGCTTCTTAGCCCAGGCTTTGTTGTTCTCTAAGGAGTTCAAAAAGAAGCTGCGGTGGTATAATGGTTAAGACATCCAGCTGCTAACCAGACAGTCAGCAGTTCAATCCTACCTGCTGCTCTGCAGGAGAAAGATGAGGCAGTCTGCTTCCATTAAAGATTTACAGCCTTTACTTATAGCCCACCTATGGAATCGACTCATTGGCTGTGGGTTTTTAAAGAGTTCAAGGATGGCTATGAGGTTTCTGTGATCTATCTGGCAAAGTCTTCAAGATTGAAATGTATGTGCATGTGAGCATTCTGGCAAGAGGAGTCCATAACCTACCACCGTCCCAAAGGGATTCCTGACCCCCATGTGTTCAGAAGCTTGAGAGTAAGGAGAGATTGTTAAATATTCAGCTATTGAGTTAATTATAAAATAAAAATTTTTAAAAGGATGAAGGACACTTGATTAAGCAGCTATATTTGTAATAAATTATACTAAACAAAATACATTGCTTACCTTGAAGCACTTTTATTTGTACTTTGCTGAAAATAATAACACTGCATATCTTTAAACTCCATCTCAAATGGCTTTTTCCTAAGTGAGACTCCTTTTTATCCAAAAATAAATAAATAAATAAATAAGGAACCTTGACCTATTTAAGAATGATCATATATTTATTTGAGCTTTCATATTTGGGGGAGAAGACTACCAAAAAAGGGAAAGGGAGCCATCCTCTCATTTGGCAAAATTGGTGGCATAAAGACTTACCTGGACTGCCTGGAATGTTGAAGAATCTGTTCCCCTACCCCTCAACCCTGCCTCTGGCCACCTTCAGAATTCTGCCTCAGAGGTGGAGACATGGACTGGGGTTCTTCTAGTTTCCTTGCACACTCCCCCTCCCACCACCACCACCCTTCTCCTACACTGCCTCCAAGATTGAGGCTGTTGTCTTTGTTTCCCCTAGCAAAGGTTCTTACCTTGTAGTGGGATATTTCAGCCACTAGGGGGCCCAAGATTAATGTAGAAATTAAGGATTAACCAGTTGGGAGCTCTGGTGGCATAGTGCCTAAGGCATTTGAGTGCTAACCAGAAGGCTGGTGGTTTAAACCCACCAGCTACTCCTCGGAAGGAAGGTTGGGCAATCTACTTCTGCAGTGATACTGCCTTGGCAACCCAAGGAGGGACTACTATGAATTGGGACGACTCGATGGCAGTGAGTTTGGTTTTGGTTTGGTAGAGTTCAACTCATAGAGACCCTGTATGGGCCACAGTACAACTGCACTTCATAGGGTTTTCAGTGGCTGATATTTTGGAAGTTCATTGGCAGGCCTTTCCCCTGAGGTGCCTCTGGGTAGTCTCAAACATCCAACTTTTTGTTTAGCAACTGAGCAGATTAACCATTTGCACCATCAAGGGGACTCCATAATTCCCTTAACCACCCTCCTTTTCTGATCTTTGATTTATTCCTCCATCTAAAAGGCATAGATTTCACTCCTCCAGCCCACAAATAACCAGAACTACTATCTGATATAGGCATTAATCAATACCGTTCAGCCCTATCTGAAATCTGTGTGGTGACTGTCTGTGATTCTCTGATATAAGAGGAAATATTTAAAGAAAAAAAGTGACTTGAGATTAGGCGCCTGAGGCTCCTAATTTGACCCAGTGCTGATTGCCAAGAGTCTGAAGAATTTGTTCTAATCAAGCAAAGCTCATAGATGAGTAGCAAAAGTCATCCTTTCAAGCCAGTATTCCCTGCTGGAAAAGCATGAGCTGTGGAAAGGGGAGTTGAAATTTCCCAGGGCAGCCTGGCAAGCATGTGTTCCTGGTGGCCTCCAGCCAGACCTTGGGGTCAATAGGCTAAAGTAATGCCACTCAGTGCATGGCAGCGTTAGACTAAGCATATGTCAAGGCTCTCAACAATCACAGGTCCTGCAAATAGCACTTAGCCTTGGCTGATGTTGAAAGCACTGACGGATTTTTGAATTGCATATACAGTAATTTGTATCATGTGCAGTTCCAGGAGTGTAGCTGCCGGCCCTTCCCGGTGCATGGCAGTCTGTGGTGAGCTGGGAGGGTCATGAGATTGCAGGAGGAAAGAACACATTGGGAAAGCTTTCCCACCCTCCTCAGCTTGTTGAACAACAAGAAGGAAATCTAAGGGGACAGCAGTAATACATTTCAGTTTTAGTGTGTGTTATTTTAAAGCAACTCATCATTTGCACTCTGCAGACTAGGGCTGGGTCCAAGTACCATGTGGGCTCAATTGAGGCAAAGTTTGTTCTATATTCTTTTGGTTACTCTGTAGTCTTTGGAAGTCCCTGAGGATGACCCTGCCAGCCCATCCAGAAGTAAGATTTCACATTCTGGGAATAGAGGAGTTCTTGGAAGGCCATCCCAGAGGGGATGGGAGTAGGGGGGAATAATTGTAAGAAAGCCAGGATACTTTGCTGTTGCTGAACATCAGGGCAAAAATGTGTGTGGTTAATTAGCATTCTACTGCAGGGAAACGGGCCATGAAGTGGGAAGCAGGCATATCTACGCTGGAATCACATTTCCCCATTCTCCCACTGCACCGAGGTCATAGTCAACACACTTCTTCACCTGCATAGACTCATGTTCCTAGTCTGTCAGTTGGTTACAACATCCAGTTTCTTAGGGGTTGTTATTAAGATCAGTGGAGTATTTAAAAAAAGTTGCCATCAGGAGGATTGCCAGTCATGGCAACCCCATGTATTACAGAGTAGGACTGCTCCTTAAGGTTATCTTGGTTGAAATCTTTACAGAAGGAGTCCTGGCAGTGCACTGGTTAAAGCAGCTTGGCTGCTCACTGAAAGGTCAGTGGTTTGAATTCACCAGCTGCTTCATGGAAGAAAGATGAGGCAGTCTGCTTCTGTAAAGATTTATAGCCTTGGAAACCCTATGAGCAGTTCTACTTTGTCCTGTAGGGTTTCTATGTGTTGGAATTGATTCAGTGACAGTGGGTTTGGGATTCTTTTTTTTTTTTTCCCCCTTGGTTTTAATCTTTACAGGAACAAATCACCAGGCCTTTCCTCTGTGGCACCCCTGGGTGGGTTTAAACCACCACTTTAGGTCAGTAGTTGAGTGCTTAACCATTTGTGTCTCCCAGGGACCTAGCACAGTATAATAAGGTGGACTGTAAAATGATTATGTTGTTGTTGTTGTTGTTATGTGCCGTCAAGTCAGACCCAATTCATAGTGACCCCTCCTTGGGTTTCCGAGACGGTGGTATCACTACGGAAGTAGATTGCCCAACCTTCCTTCCGGGGAGTGGTTTGAACCACCAGTCTTCTGGTTAGCAGTCAAATGCCTTAGGCACTATGCTACCAGAGCTCCCGTAAAATGATTATAGGTTCCACAGTTTGTTTTTGAGTCCTCAAAGTAGCCACCAGGGAAACCATCCGATTATTTGGATGATGTTGTCATTGTTCCAGATATTTGGGAACTGCTTTCTCAGAAGCTCTTCAGAGACTGTGGCCCATTGTTTTTAATAAACTATACTACACATGAGAATGTATTTGATTTTCCTTTTTTTTTGTTTTCCAATTCTCTCAACTCATTAGGAATCCCATCTTAGAAAGATTGTGGATGGTCAAGAAGAATAGCCACTCTTCTAGGTCAAAGGTGAATTAAGCAAGACAAACTGGTTCTGAGATTAATATGCAAGGATAGCAATGAGAAGAGTACCTATCTTCACAAGATGATGAATTGGAACTACTACTTCATTTGGATATAAAAGCACTGCTGTGCTTATTCTTTTTAAAAATCTCATTTATAGACACTGAAACTTTTGAAGACAATTAGTAGCTTACTAATTGTTTAATTATTTCATCTTATTAGATTCTTTTTTTGGCTTATTAGGATAAGACTGATTCATTCCGATGAATTAGAGAAAAGCTAAATTTTAGTCATGCTATAGTCTGAAATGCAGCTCAAAACATTTAAAGCAATTTAGACTTTGTTTTCAAGTACATGAACTAGCCCTTGTAACTTGCAGAATCAGACATCCCACAGTCCATGTTGTTTAGGGGGATAAAAAACATTTGAAATTGGATAGTGGTGATGGTTGTACAACATGGTTAATATAATTTCTGTCATTGAACTATACACTTAAAAATGGTTAGAATGCAGTCCTGGTGTTGAACTTACTCCCATGGCTTCCAGCCAAACAACAGACAAGCGTATAAGGTGAACATTTATGCCAGGTGGGTACACAACTTACAACAATCAACCATGGGAGACCAGCAGGGCAGTATTTGCACAGGAAGATACCTCAGAGGGCAGGAATGCATAGGAAAGAAGGACACAGGGAAAAGGTAACCGCAAGGAAGAAGAGGTAAGAGAGCTGTTACATTATGGTGATTGCAATCAATGTCATGAAACAAAATGTGTATAAACTGTTGTATGGAAAATGAATTTGCTCAGTAAATTTTCACCCAAATCACAATAAAAAGAAAAAAAAAAATGGTTAGAATGGCAATTGTTTTGTTACATGTATTTTGCTGTACACACACACACACATACACACACCACAAAGTACTATGCATGGATTGTGCATTAATGATATGTAAAAGATCAGAGTTGGCATAAAGGAGAAGAAAATCTATTTTTTTTTCCTAACCTTTAAATTGTTGGAGCATCTGCTTAAATGAGTTTAATGATCACCATTCTTGTGCCTTTCACTTTCCTGTGTTTTGTCTGACTTCATTCATTGTAATACATTTTGCTGAAACAGCCTCATCTTAGCCAAAATAACCTTTCACACTGATTATAATACCCAAGTAGTTTTATATCAAGTCCTACCATGGTTGAACTAAAGTAGGTTAGGTGAAAATGTCAGTTAACTAGATTCTTTTTTATATATATAGCCTTTCCCTGAGGGAAGTTGAGGTAATAATAATTTTTTTAAAATAGATTTGTAGAGAATAGTTTCTGTATTAAAAAGATACTGGAAAGACCAAGCTCGTTTAGAGAAAAAAGAACAAGATTTAGTGTATAGGATGAGAAACAGTCTTAAACATAATATTTTTACCTTAATTAAAAGGAATGATGTTAAGATATTGTCAGTGTTTTTATAGCTTTATGTTTTTAAATTCATTCTGCGGTATTTTCTGCAAGTAAGTACTTCCCAGCTTTAGTCACTTAAGTGTTATTTCATCAAGTGACCAGAAGGGGTCACTAGAAAGTAGGTTTCTCTTTAAAGAGTTACTTTACCTCCAGGCTTTCAGCCCAAGGGAAAGGAAAAAGCTTAATTCCATAGCTGGAATGATGATGCCTGTTTTTATGTTTTAGCTTTGCATTTCAATCAACTTCAAAATCTTTGAGCCATCTTAGAAAAGGGACTCTGTTATTTTTCCAGACATGCTGTCTTCAGAATAAATGAAATTGGAAAAGGTTAAAATGAAGAAGTCATAATTAATTACTAGACAAAGACTGCACTTGCCTACATCATGGTCTCGGGACAAGTAAAGAATTTGGTGCTGAACTTTTTTTGATTGGCATGTTTTGCTCTCAGATTGGCACTGTTAAAGAAGAGTGGAGAGGAAGACTGGAAAAATAGACTTAACAAAAAGCAAGAATACAGCAAAGCATCTGTCTCAAGTAGCTTGCATATACAAGAAGTGGAGCAGTCACTCAAGAAGAAGGTAATTATTCTCTTCCATGTTAGGAAAAGGCATTCTCACTAACATCACACTTGGACATGCATCAAACAAACATGCATAACTTAACTAATTACCTCCCTGTGTAACATTAGTGCTTTATTGTGTTAGAGTACACACTTAAAATTGTCACATAAGCAGCTTAAATCAATCAAAAATAAAATGTTGAGATTTTATAGAACTGGTAACAGCCCAACATACATAATGCATCAGAAAGCAAATTCCTCAATTTTAAAGTGTGTACTTTAACTTTAGTTTAACACTTTCTTAATGAATGACTTTAATAATGAACATGTTTCACTGACCACTAACAGTTTGTACATTGCACATGAAATATGGACTTGAATTTCCTAATGTAGACATTGAAATCCTAAGTGTACAAAAGAAAGATGTAATTGTGCCCAGTGAGTACTTAGCTCATAATTCTAAGCATGTTTCAAGATGAGTAGATAATACTTTTTATTAAGACTCTTTGCAACAGAGAACAGTAAATTGTTTCACAAGTTTAAATAAAATCAAGTAACACATGGTTATCAATACTAATACTCATTTCATATGCAAAAGCATTGATGAGTTATTCAGTTGTTAATATAACAATGACCATATGATGACCAGCTATTGGCCTTTTTGAAACTGTTCAGTGCTTTCCCTCCCCATGGCCCTGCTATTGCAAATGTGCTTGCTGGCAGGAGGCGAGGTAGGATACTGCTGACACTGCCAAGGCCAATTCTCCACCTATTAAAGTCCAAGTGATCACCTAGACTCCTTGCAGTTCTAAAAAAAGCATTAAGCTTCTATACCAAAACCTCAAAATTGACTGCCATCGGGTTGATTCTGACTCGTAGCAACCCCCATTGGGTTTCTGAGGCTATAAGTCTTTACAGAAGTAGATTGCCCCCACCTTCCTTCCATGGATTGGCTAGTGGGTTTGAACCAATGACTTTCTGGTTAGCAGCCAAATGCCTTATCCACTATGCCATTAGAGCTCCTTTAAGCATCTATGGAAGAGATAAATTATGATTGTAACCTTTATGCATTAAGAAACTTATATGAAAATGAAGTTTGCATATGAGACTATCGACCCAGAGTTCTGACACTGTCATTAGGTGCTGCTTTGCCTTCATAAGTTAAATTGGAAGGGCAACTTGAATGCTCTTTCATACGTGGTATGAAAGCTAACAACTAGAGACATTCAATTCTCAGTCATCTGTAAAATTCTCAGATACAGTCAGCTATTATAAAACAATTAAATGTGAAATTTTTATTTCAAGAATGGCTCCTCCAGTGCAAGAAAAGTGACTCCCTCAAATCATTTTTCCCACTGTCTATAAATTTTATTAAAAATTTGTAAACTTGGCTCAAAAATACCTTTAACACCTTCAATTTACCTCATTAGCAAACTTGTCAACATTTAGATTGCCCCCACCTTCCTTCACTTATATCATGTCTCAAGCACCAACTAGTGCCAGATATCATGTCAGTCATTTTGGAAGATAGAAACCCCGGCAATATGGTCAAGCAAAAATTAAATTTAAACTGCAAAGCACAGAGCAAAAGCGATTCCCCATGAATGGTGCCATGAGATAAGTGCTCCTCCCACTCAGAAGAGTGAGGGGCCGTATTAGTCTGTGAAAATCAGAAGGCTGTGAGGGGAGGGTGAGATTTGAATTGCCTGAACAACACGAGCTCCTGGGTAGAGTAAAGGGTTAAGTGCCCAGTCACTGGCCAAAAGATTGGCAGTGGAAACCCATCCAGTGTGCCTCGGAAGATAGGCATGACAGTCTGCTTCCAAAAGGTCCAAAAGCCTTGGAAACCCAATGGAACAGTTCTACTCTGCACTCATGAAGTCACCCTGAGTCAGAACTGACTCAGTGGCAACTAACAGCAACATTTGAGGAAGGTTTTTGGAAGGCAAGAGATGGGAGAAGGTTACTGACACATTGAAATAGACACAACGAAATATTAAATAACTCAAGGGTGAAAACTGAGTGAACAGAAGTACTGGGGAGCTAGATGAGCACAGAAGAGCTCGACTTGTGCTGAGCAGAAAGTGTCTACCAATTCTGCAGCAAATTGTGAACTTGCCATCCCTGTGGCTCCTCAGTGACCTAGTTCACTTTGCCCTGAGACAATAAGCTCTCTGAAGTTAACATAAGTCAATCTATTTTAGGCCTTTGTTAATGATATTAGGAAATCTCAAATTCTGTTGAGGTCAAATGGCAAACTCTCCCAGCCACTCTGTGGAAGAAAGGTGAGGCAGTCTGCCTCCATAAGGATTTACAGCATTGGAAACCCTATGAGGCAGTTCTACTCCATCCTCCAGGTCGCTATGAGTCAGAATCTACTCGATGGCAGTGGGTTTGGTTTTTTGGTTTGGTAGCTGTACTCCAGTGTGGCAGGTGAGGTACCTTAAACCTAGCCTGTGTTAAGGAGATCCCCAAACAGCTAAGGTGTACTTGAGAAATTGCCGTGCTTGCTGGCATGTTCGAAAGCTGCCACAAAGATCTCCAGCCATCCAGAAGGAAATCCACCTGTGACCTGCTGCATGCAGAGGAGTCTTGCTGCATGGAGTGGGCCTAGACTTGCTGAAGGCTGCTTACTCAGTGTTTCAAGTTCTGGAATCTTGTATCTTTACCACAAAGGGTTGAAAGCAGCTGGTTTCATGGTCAGGTCATTACTGACTTCATAACTTCTGAATTCACCAAAAGGCACACATTAATGGTTAGCAAATATTATATAGTTTGTCATCCTCCAGGTTTCTGTGTGCAGTAAGTATAGTACCATGAGTTGCACCTCTAGAGATTTATAGGTGGCAGGAAATAAAGACAGGACCAAATAATCAGTTTAATTGCCCCTATGAAAATCCATGCAGTAGCTAAGTCAGCACTGTCCAATAGAAATATAATGTGAACCACAAGTATATTACTTTCAATTTTCTAGTAGCCATATTTCAAAAAGTAAAAAAAAGTGAAATTAATTTTAATACTATTTTAATTTATTACTATTTTAAATTTAATCCAATATATTCAAAATACTATCTTTTCAACATACAGTGAAACTTGTGAGAGCTGGAATTCATCAGGACTACTTGGTTTATCCAGGTCTCACAAGTTTTCCATCTTTGACAGGGTGCAGTCACCACTTTTCTAACACTATTTCATGGAAAACATTTGAGTTTTCCTTCTCTGACAGGTTTTTGCCTTACAGGGTCCGGGGTCCAGCTTTCAAAAGTTTTACTGTATAATCAATCTAAAATGATTAATGATACATTGCATTCTTAATTTCATACTATTTTAAACCCAGTGTCCATTTTACACCTCTGTCATGTCTCAGCAGCCACATGTGGCAAGGAGCTACCACATTGGATGGTGCAAATGAAAAGGTGTCTGAAATAATTCTGTTTAGAAACCACAGATATAAGTAACTGCCAGCCAATTGATTCCTAAGTGATAGACTTCATAGATTTTTTTTGTGTGTGTGTGAAAATATTACCAATGGAATCCAGTTCCAGCACTGGATACAAGAAAATAATAAAACTAAACATGTGATCCCTAATGTTGAAGTGAATGGGAGAAACACTAAATAGCAGTCCTAACAGTTATGCAGTTACCTTGAAAACTGGCTTCTGACATGCAAAGTCTGGAAGAAAGTTGTCCTTGACCTTGGTACTTGCCCTTCATCCCAAACCATAGTGTAATGTAATGAGTACATGGAAAAGTGCATGGTCTGGTACAGCACCATCCCTACTGTAAGCCAGGGTCTTCAGGACTGGTTCATTAATTGACCTCAATAAGAGACCCACTGAATTTTATTTATGACTATATAAGGTAGACAACAGGTCATTAATTATAAAGTGTAAATTTTCCTATCTTGAATTTTGAAACAGTATAAAAAGTGTAGGAGTTCTAATGGTACAGTGGTTAAGGCATTCAGCTGCTAACCAGAAGGTTGGCAGTTTGAACCCACCAGCCACTCCACAGGAGAAAGAGGTGGCAGTTGGCTTCCATAAAGATTACAGTGTTGGAAACCCTATGGGGAAGTTTTACTCTTGTCCTATAGGGTCGCTATGAGTCAGGATTGATTCAATGGCAGTGGGTTGTAAAATCTCTAACTATTATGACTGTTTGACTTGCTCGTTAAGACAGCCTACCATTTGTATGTTGTCCTTGTACTAGGATTTGAAAAGGATACCTTGAAAAAATAAGTTTCTATCAAAGAGTTTCTCCAAACAAAACAAATTTAAGGTGCCCTAACTAGCATCTCATTTTGGGTGCTATATGGTAAGAAACTATTCTTTTGGCCCTGTAATAGATTTTTTGGAACCAAGTTAGAATTTTCCTTTTTTGTACTAAAAGATCAATCATGTCTCAGAGAATATATAACTTAACAGCTGTTACTTGCTTTCCAATTTCACCCTCCCTACCCATTCCCCTACCCCCCACCCCCTATCCCCCAGAAAAACACCAGGATCGATGATTTGGATCTTCAAGCTCTAATTAAGTACCCAGCAGACTATTATTTCCTATGAGAAATGATTTAGGTTCTTTCTCCTCTCTCATTCTCCTGTTTGTCCTTATTTTTAGCTTATATTTAGTTCTTCTCTCTCCTTTTCTTGGTTTAGTTTAGGCCAATGCTAAACTAACTTAAACATTTTTGCTTCTTGTAACATACGTAATTTGTTTTCAGATGGTAAAGTCACTTGGCCTGGCCCACACTGTGTGGAATGTGTGCCATTTGAGCTTTATTGCTGTATATTTTCCTCCAGAGTAACTCGTTCCACCAAAGGAGTGAGGAAAATGAAGCAAAGTCTTTGAAACGTCTTGAAGACATGATTAAAACCCCTCATCTGCTTCTTAGCCCCAGCTTGATATTTGATATCCCACTGTCCGGCAGTAGGGTCAGGTCAATGAATCAAGAGAAGGTCTATGATGTCCCCAAAACAAGTGCCAGAAAATTCTAGGCAGGTGAATCTGTCATAGTCATGA